TGTCAATCACTGTCACTAGAACTGCCTGAGCCACAGGGAGCCCGGCTGCTGCTCAGCTTGTCAGAGTGTTGGAGCCGTCGGCCGAGGCAGCTGCCGCCTCTCACGCCGTATGCTGCACACCTGCCTGCAGAACCTGGCCTGGTTTACGCATCTGTCTGCCGTCAGGAACACATAGCAGGAATTCGGGTGTCTGTGCACAGATGTGCATGCAACAAGAACATGCCAGCACATGCTTGCACCCACCTAGGAGCACCCCACCCACCTCATGCAACCTCTGTGGACCTAACACATGTTTTGGTGGCCCTCATGACCTGCACTAGCTCAGATGACACCATGCTCACCAGGAAGCCAGGAGCTGCTGTTCCAGTCCTACTCCCTGCAGACCTCTCTTTGAAGCCTCTGTTGCCCCATCCCTGGTGACAAGATTCTAATCATGACCAGCTGTTCTTTCAGTGAAGGGAGACGAGGGCACCCTTCATCCACATCAGTGAGAGGCTTTGTCTCCTGTCATTGCGGAGGGTGGGCTAGAGAGCGGGCGCTACAGAGCCAGGCGCTGTGCCGGCCAACAGCTGGGTGGGTGCTGATACAGGAGTGGAGGAGGAGGACCAGGGAGGGGAGGATTGAGGGGACCCCGGAGTGATAGCCCGTGTGTGCGACCTGAACCAACTCCGTGCTCATGACAACCCTGAGGTGTTTGTGCTAGGAGCAGGGTGAAGAAATGGCTCAGAGGCTGAGTGACACACCTCTCGTATGAATTATTGACCCCCTCGTTGAGATCAGAAACCTGTCATCACCCTAGACAATTCCCTTCTACCGGCTGATCACCTGTCCAGATTCATAAGCACGTTTGCTTTCTGAAGTTCTCCCTGGCCTATCTTCCCCTCCTACCACCGCTGCTCTCCCCATCCTGGCTCTGGTCATTTCCTCTATGGACCAGGAGCAAAGCTTCCCTGGAGAGATCTGGCTCTCAGCCTGTCCCCTCCAGGCACTACCTCTGCTGCAAACCTGAGGGGTCCCTTTTCACCAAGAGGAATCTGGGTTCTCAGTTATGTCCTCGTCACACCTCCTGCAGACCCTCACACTGTGACTTGCAGGTCCTCTACATGAGACACTGTTTAGCTCTCATTCCACCAAGTTCACTTCTGGTCTCCACATCACCTCCTCCAAGAAGCCCTCCCTGAGCCCTCGGTCTTGCTTGGTTCTTTCCTCTTTGCTCTGCCGTGACCAGAGTGGGACATGCTGTGTGCTAATGAAGTTTCTTTTTTTTTTTCTCTTTCTTTTTTCTTTTTCGAGACAAAGTCTCGTTTTGTCACCCAGGCTGGAGTGCAGTGGTGCGATCTGAGCTCACTGCAACCTACGTTGCCCAGGTTCAAGAGATTCTCCTGCCTCAGCTTCCCGAGTAGCTGGGATTACAGGAGTGTGCCACCATGCTGGGCTAATTTTTGTATTTTTAGTAGAGATGGAATTTAATCATCTTTGCCAGGCTTGTCTCAAACTCCTGGCCTCTTGCAAACTTTCTACTTTAAACTAAAGCACTTTTCATATTTTATTCTTAAATTTACTCGCCTCAGCCCCCAAAGTGCTGGGAGGCGTGACCCACTTCTCCCGGCCATAACGATCAGTTTCTATGTGACCCTGCTCTGCCGTAAGCTTCTGGGGACAGCAGCAGGTCGTCCTCATCTTGGGTCCCTTGTTCCCAGCACGGGTTCTTGCAGGTGTGAGTTTCTCTGTGAGTGCTGATCACCGAAGGTGCTCACGAGGGAAGGAATGAGTTGCTCATAGAGTAGCCAAGGGCCTGGCGGAAAGGCCAGGGGAGTCGACCAGGAGATCTTTGAGGAGGGACCGTGTGGTGGAGGGGCTTCCCCATAGAAGGCGCTGTCTGAGACTGGGGCTGGGAGCCCGTCCCTCTTCCCTCCTTGCTCCTCCCACCTTGGGGAGTAGGTCAACAGAATCCTGAGACAGAGATGTGCTGGCACCTGCTGCCTGCCTACCTGCCCTCCACCTGTGTATCCTTCCTTCCCTCCTCCCTGCCATCTGTCACCCATCCTCTCATGCAGAGTTTATCAAGGCATCTGTTCCAGACCAGGCACGTTACTAAGTCCCTAGAGCCTGAAAGTTTTGGGCAGCTCAGGACAGGACCCTGGGGCTTTTAGGCACCAAAACTCCTTATTTCCTGCTTCTTCCTTGATTCCCCTTGAGATGGGTCTGGAGGGCTGGGGAGGTGGAGAGGGCAGCCCAGGCGGCGTGGGTGGGGTGGGGGTAGGATAAAACAGACTGTACCTACCCAAGCCGCCTGTGTGTGCTGTGGATCCACTTTCTTTCAGTTCAAGACAACAAAAGGGCAAACATGTCTTTAGGGAGAAAAACAAGAACTTGATCCAGTTGGAGGAGAAACTCACATGGAAGGAAAGTCAGGCCTCGTGTGTACTGTCAGGACCAGGAGCAGGGGCAGGAAGGGGCACCACGGCTTCTCAAGACCTCATCAGGCTTGTTCTCTCTCGCTTCCTTTATTCTTCAAACGGCTCGCTTGCTTCTGCATGCCCTCTGATTTCTGATTGATGCGAAGCTGCTTGCTCTCTCCCTGTCCTGAGGGTCCCGGGGCTGGGCATGATGCAACTTTGGTCCCCAGGAGCCAGGGAGGGCCTGCTTGTTTCTGAGGGGACAGTGAGGGGTGTGGCATGGAGCTGCTGCTGGGGGAGATGCAGAGCGGCCTCGGGCCTGCCCTCCCTGGGAACTGCCACCCAGGTAGGGGTCAGGGGAGCTCTCTACCCTTCCCCACCGCAGTGCCTGCTGGGTCCAGGAGCAAGGGCCACACAAAGGGCGGTGGAGATGGGGAATGAAGTGGAGAGAAGCATCAGGGCAGAACAGCGGCTGGAAGCCTGGCTGACCGTGGAATTCCATGGGAGACTAAACAGTCTCCTGGGCCTGCTTGGGGTTTCCGACTCGGTGGGTCTTGGCTGGGGTCAGCTCTGCTGTCTGCCCCAGGAAGCCATGGCCCCTGTTTGGTACCCACTTACTAGGAGTCATAAGAACTGAGCTGGCTCTGCCCGATTGGTGAGAATGAAGGAGAGAATGTCTGAGTAAGAGTGGGCGAGCCCTGGCTCCTCCAGCTCTGAGAGGAGCAGAAGCTGAAGGTTTCTGGAAAGCACTTGTCCTTAGGGCAGAGAATCCAGGCTCCCTCCACGTGGCCTCGAGCACCACAGGCAGGGCCTGAGGGTGGTGCACACCGGAGGGGGTCCCTGGTTCCCTCAGCTGGGTGGAGAAAGCACAGGACCAGGCAGATGGGCCTTCCTGGCGCGGTTTCTGCCGCTGCATCTCTGCTCCCCATCAGTACCCTTGAAACATGCCACTTTTTCCCCAGAGAACAACAGGATCAATCCCATTATCCCTGCTGCATCCTGTATTACCTTCCTCATGGGACATTTGGAGGGGACAAGAGGATAGGACCACAATCATGACCATCCTCAATCTGCCTGCCTGTCCCTCACTTGCTATGTAGCCTTGGGCAGACACTCAGCTTCTCTGGACCACTGTTTCCTTATCCAGCACACAAGCCCTGCGGAGATCCTTACCCTGGGACTGGGCCCTGAGCCCGGAGGGGTGCTCTGTCCCTCAGCCTTCCAGCAGGTAGCCTTCCTGACCCTCATAGTTTCTCCTCGCCTCATCTGGGTGCCTGGGATTCTGCCAGCCTCAGACTCCACACTGTGGGAATGGTCACCTTGGAGGGCCGTGCCCTGCTAGCACTCAGGGCCACTCTGCTATTTTTATCTGCCACTGGTTAGTCTGTATCGTTGTGTAGGCAGCCTCTCGCCGCAGTTTTGCTGCAGAGTATTACCAACATGAGCTCAGATGGTGACCTCACCGAGTGACCTCAGTCCAGTGGAACTGCCCGCCAGGCAGACGGGCACATGGAATTTCAGTTTCCAGTAAAGAGCATATTCTCATTATTTTTAGGAACCCGAAAATGGCTAACAGGCATCAGCAGGGATTGGATGCCTGTTAAAGTAACTTGTTGAAGTAAACTCCAGTGTGTTTACTTACTGGCAGTATCACTGACGGTAATGTACACAGATCCTGAGCATTCCGTTCCCTGCGCGTCTGCGGATCCGCCGCGTAACCAATGCCTGGGTCAAAACTAAAGTACTCCAGCACCCTAGAAGCTTCCCTCCTGCGCCGTCCTGGTTTCTCACAGTGGGTCTGGCCCAGAGCAGGACCTCCTCAGCCAGTCGGCAAGTGTACCATAATGGGACCTGGGGTGGCAGAGCCAAGGGGGGCGCCAGGTCTCAGAGAGGCTTCCTGAAGGAGCGGGGCTGCCCCGTGGAACCCAAGGATTAACTAGAACAATGGTGGTTTCACCAGGCAAAGGAAGCAATAGGGCACTTCCCAAGGCTGCTTTCTGCCCTCCTGGGCCCAGCCCTGAGCTCTGTGGCTCAAGACTGGGTCCACCCCCATTTCCAAGTGACTGTGGAGTGCAGTTCTCTGAGCCTGGCCCCCAGGTGCTGAGACCCTGAGACCAGGCAGCTGTCTCCACCTGCAGAACGGGAGCGGATCTCTGTCCTGTGACCACATGGCAGACCCGAGGCCTGAAGGAGTCTGCGGGCGGGGTTGTCTGGCAGCCATTGTCCAGTCCTGGCAGCCACCTGCTCCTCCCAACAGTGGTCATTTCTTGAGCACAGGGCACAGCTGCCCATAGTAGCACAGGCCTCACTACTCTCATTGGGAAAACCTGCTCCTCAGCCACCGTCACTGGCCTGCTTTTCTCCCCTGGGATGGAGGACCTGTCCTTCCCTTGGCCATGTGACTGGGATTTCAGAGTGACCCCACTGCCACCTGCCTGGCTGCTCTAGGTGGCCCACTCCAGGCCTTCCCTGGTCCCTCTGGCCTGGTCTTTTCTGACCCATGGCATCCAGCCTGTGGGGCCCAGGCCTGTGTGGGTCTGACCAGGCCACCTGGAGGCTCATGGAAAGTCCTCACCTTGTGCTTTGTCTGTGATTCTCCAGCTCCAAGAAGCCCAAGAAACATCCCAAAGTGGCTGTGAAAGCCAAGCCCTCGCCCCGGCTCACCATCTTTGACGAGGAGATGGACCCCAACGAGGGGCTCTTTGGCCCAGGCACAAAGCTGTCCCCGCAGGGCCTCTCAGAGGACACGTCATCCATGGACTGTAAGTAGAGCCCCAGGGTCTGCTCCCTTTGCTCCTGGTGTCCTCTCTGTGCCCAGCCCCATCATCAGGCAGGGTCTGGACTCACCCAGCGTGAATAGGACCCATATCCCCCCTTTCCTGTCTAGACATGATATAGATTCAGCTTTGGAGGGAGCTCTCCTGCTGGAGGAATTGAGCCTCACACGTGGTTCCTCACAGGGTGGAACATTCCCAGGCTGTGAGTCTCTTCTAAACATCCCGCAGAAAAGGAGGATGGTTATCTTTGCTGCTTTGAGAAGTGCTTTCGTGACATCTGTGGGCACATGTGGGCCCTGGGCTTCCAGGCACCATTTGTGTGAAAAGTGACAGGGCCTGCCTGTGGCATGTGTGTGACTATAGGTTTGGATTTAATGGGATTCTGTGTCACTGGCACAGATTCCCTGGAGGGCTTTGTGCAGAGTTGGCCACAGGGAAAATCCAGTGGCCTTGGGACATCTCCCCTCATCCCTGGGTCCCTTTCCTCACATGCCCAGGTTGTCCTCTGGTTGGGGGAATTGATGCCACCCACTAATTCAGTCCACACTTGGTGAGCCCTCACCCAGGGCCAGGCCTAAGAACATGCTGAGGAGCGAGACCCAGTCCCTAGCCCGAGGGCCATGGGGTCCTGTGGGGAGACAGGTCATCACCTGACAGTTGCAGAACAGCACGAGTCTATGACAGGCTGAGCAGAAGCTCCAATTCCTGTGGGGCTCCCCAGAAGACCTCCTGGGGTGGGGCGGGGGCCCTCCTTGAGCTGGATCCTGGAAGGTCAGTGGAGTCTGCCAGGCTGGCTGAAGCAGGGGACCCCAAGTACAGCAGCTGTGATCGGCATTCTCCAAGGGCAGCCCCAATCAGCTCACTTGCGAGAGGGTGTGGGGAGGAGACCCAGGCTTCCTGAAGGCAGCAGCCACATGCCGTGGCACCCCAGCAGAGAGAGAGAGCAGCCCAAGCCGGTGGGTAGTACTCAGTAAATGCTTGTTGAAGGCCGGGTGCAGTGAGCAGGCGCAGTAAGATCAGCTGGACTGGATGACGAGATCCCTGGCGCAGTGAGCCCAAGAGGATGTAACCTCCTAAGAGCAGCAGGAAGCCCATGAGAACTTCAAACTGGAGTGATGCTGTCGGCCAGCTCTGGCACAGGTGCCGGGCAGCAGAGGCCAAGGCAGACAGCTGTCCCAAGCCTCTGTGAGCTTGTCCTCACCTCCTCCTGCCCTGACCTGGCCCATTTCTCTGGTTTTCTGTCTTATCCCTTGCTCACTCTCTCCTGGGTGCCCCGGGAGGCTGGGTCAGGCCTTCTCCACCTTGTACCTTGGGTAGCTGAAGACAGGCCAGGACTTCCTCTGACTACCCTGCTGCCGCCTTCCCACAGCCCTGAAGCTGTTTGAAGATCCTGACCTCGGCGGGGCTGTCCCCCTGGGTGACTCCCTCCTGCTGCCGGCCGCCTGTGAGAGTGGAGGGCCCACGCCCAGCCTCGGCCACAGGGACACCTCCAAGGAACTGTTCAGGTACCACCTGTCCCCAGTGGAGCTTGGCAGCTCTGAGAGTGTCCTGGACAGAGCCAAGGGCCCGGCTCCTATGGGGCATTGCCCAGCCTTGGCCCCAGCCTCCTCTGTGGGGAGGACCCCAGGGCTGTGGAAGGTAGAAACCCATGGGTGCACACTGGGTGAGAGGTGGTGAAGGGGGCTCGAGGGGGGAACCACAGTCCAGGGCTGCTCAGCCATTTCCAGAAAGAGAGAACTTTGTGTGCACAGCCAGTCTTTCTTTTCACAATCATATTTTAATGGTTTATGTAAATAATTACATAATTGCAAGAGCAGGTTTGGGAACAAATTAAACTGACTCATGGCAGCATGCAGCCCACCCAGAGAGGGAGTGAAATACAGGTGTCCTGGTGATGGCCTCTTCCAGTAGGACCCCATCAGAGGCGAAGTGCAGGTGTCCTGGTGGTGGCCTCTGCCGGGGGGGTCCCGTCAGAGGCTTTGACAGAAGCTGTCACATGGAGGTCAACTGGCAGAACCTGTGCAAGTGGCGGCTCCTGTTTCCCGAGCCCTTGCTATGTACGCAGTAAGCCGGACTCCTTACATGCTCTCTTATGTAATCCTCACAACAGCCCCCTAAGGTAGATGCTATTTTCTCCATATTATAAGAAATCGAGTGTGGGAGGCCACCTGCCTAAGGCCACAGCTTTGCTCTGCCCCTGTCCTGGCCTCTCCACTTCATCAGGGTCTGTCTGAGCTCTCAGCTGGGTGATCCACCTCCCCACCAGTCCCCCAGTTCTCCCCAGGCCTTTGCCTGCACTGGCCACATTCTCAGCAGGCTCAGTGTTGTGTGTGTCTCCAGCTCCTCCTCCACGCTCCAGGACACAGGGCTATGCCTGGGATTCACAGGAAGCCAGGCCACCTCTTTCCAGGAGCCGCTCATGTGACACCAGTGCATGCTGGGCCTGGAGGCTGTCATCTGCACCCCTCATTAGCAGCCTCTGGCTATTACATAGCCCTCCAAGTGCCCACCAAGCCTGAGTCACCGTGATGGCTTCTAGTATTTACATGTCCCCAAGGCCCCTGGCATCTGTTCACTCTCGTCCTGTGTCCTTGTTGCTGACATCTCGGCGGGCTGGGAGAAACCAGGATTGTTGTTATTTTGTTATAGGGAAACCGAGGCACAGGGAAATGGAATAGTAGAGTCTTCCTGGGGAGCGGCAGGGCCAGACCGAGCATGTCTAGGAGTCCACGTGTCCAGTGGGGTGGCTCTCATGGGACCTTTCTGGCCTAGGTTATTCTAAATCTGTTACTTCCCAACCTGTGTTCTGCAGAACATGGTACCATGGGGTGGTAAAAGGCTACCTTCAAAGGGGTTCTGTGGCCCGATGAGCTGGGGAAATGGCCACATGAAGCAGGGCTCCTGCGGGCTCATATTGCACAGACCCGCACCCACAGCACTTCATGATTTTTTTTTTTTTTTTTTTTGAGACAGAGTCTCATTCTTATCCCCCAGGCTGGAGTGTGGTGGTGAGATCTCGGCCCACTGTAACCTCCGCCTCCCAGGTTCAAGCAATTCCCCTGCCTCAGCCTCCCAAGTAGCGGGGATTGCAGGCGCCCACCACCACACCCAGATAATTTTTGTGTTTTTAGTAGAGATGGGGTTTCACCATATTGGCCAGGCTGGTCTTGAACTCCTGACCTTGTGATCAGCCTGCCTCAGCCTGCCAAATTCTTCCTCATCCCTGGGCCCCTCCTCTGGGGTGCCTCTCAGCTCTGGCAGAGCGCTTTGGGAATCCTTGCTCAACAGTGTGGGTCACGCACCCCCACCTTCACTTTAGCAGACATCTGCTAATGAAAGGATTAGCTGCTTTTCTTCTTTTAAATTCAGACCAATTCTAAAAGAGCTTTATCACTAGGATTAGCTTCTTGAGAGCAGGAATCACATACATTCTTTTTGTCTGTCCTATGACTATCCAGGGAGTAATTGGGCTTCCTCATAATAGAGAACGTTCTGATAGTCATTCATTTATTCCTGCTTTCACCCCTTTGTTCATTCTGTCACTCACCTCAGCCACCCTGAGGCAGCATGGGGTGTACACTGAGCAGGTGGAGGCTGAGAGGCCTTCGTTCCTTCTGGCTGTGCAGCCACACCAGGCAAGGCCTCTAGTCTAGACCTTTAGGTGAGTCTTGTCTTCGCAGGGACCCAGGGAGAAGGAGGAGGCTGGGATCTTAGAGCTCCCTTACCCTCACTGGTTGACCCCACACCAGTGTGGCCTGGAAGAGAAGGGAGCTGGACCTTGCACCAGTGAGAGCCAGTCCCAGTCATGACTCAGAAATAGGGTGTTTGGAAAAGGGGTGCCTTGCGGCCACCTGTATCCTGAGAGCAGCTACGCCACCTCCCACCGTGGCTGACCACCCATGTACACCTCCCACCTGGGAGCAAGTCCAGCCACTGATTAGTTCCAAAGAGTCACTGCTTTGCCCAGCAGGATAATTCTGAAATCTGACATAAGCTTCTAGCAGCTGCTTTATTTTCCAAAAGGCCTCTATTTGAGGATAATTCAGTCCCTTTGAACTCTTCCTAGGTACCCTCAGCCTTCAGTAGAGGCTGCCTCATGCCAGTGGAGCTGGCACCTGCCCCGGGGAGTCAAGGAAGGGCCGCCACTTGGAGGGAGCTCTGGCACTTCTGACCTTAGGTGACCAGGAGCAGCCTGGCCATGAGTGACCCCTCCTGAAATCGCCTCTACCCCGAGGCAGCTGATCTGTCTATGAAGGCCCAGCTTGGGCTATCTCTGGGTTTGTTCAAGAAGGACACCTTTTATTCATTTATCTGCCATCCAAGCAGACTCTGAATTCTCTCTGGAGTTTGTGCCCTGTCACAGGAGGTCAACCCAGGAAGCAGGCAGGATGTCCAGAGCTCCTTCCACAGCTGGCTCCAAGCAGGCACCCAGCCCTGGGGGTGCTGCGCTGGGCACCTCCATACTCACTCAGGCTCTGCCAGGCCTGGTGGTGCCAGGAGTTGTCCTGATCAGAGGCATCTCTCTATCCCTGCCCCTGCCTGGCCCTTCTGATGTCCCCGCCATTGGGATACACTGCCCAGGGCAGGAAGCCTCTGCTTGTGAGCCTGCGTGGTTCTTCCTGTTCGTTCTCATGGCCACCTCCATACCTCTGGTCTCTGCTCCCTTCTCCAGAACTCTATCCCCTATTCACGCCAGGCTCACCCTTCTGAAAAGGCCCACCTTCTCAGGAAGTCTTCCCAGCTTGCTCTGGCCCAAGGGCTCACTCCTTTCTCTGGACTTCACCACCGTCTTTCCAGGCCTTTGTAATCGCGTGGCCCCTGCCTGACGGGTCTGGGGGTGCCCTGCACTGTGGATTGAGGTGCTGCTTTTCTGTGTCTTATTCCTGCTTGCTCAGCCCCTGGGGCTGTCAGTAGACCTCAGTACACGCAGCCTTCCTATATGTTTGGAAACTACTTTCCTTGTGTTGTCTTACTTGATCCTGAATCCACAGGGATTCTGTAAGAATCCCTGTGAGGGTGATAGAGCAAGTACAATCCCACTTTATAGAAGAAGAGAGTGAGGAGCAGGGAGGAGTGGCCTGCGCCGCCTGATGGAGGAGTTGCAGGGTGAGGATCAGAAGCCAGTTCTCCACCCACAGTGCTGTGCTTCCGTGCACAGCTCCATGCAGCACGGCCAGCTGACACTGTTACTCCTGCTTGTAGATGAGAAGCCGAAGCTTGTAGAGGCTCAGTGGGCATCAGGTCTTCCGCCTGCAGTGCCCGTGCCCTCCCTCACCTGGTTGCAGCATGGCTGAGCAATACATGCAGAGATGCTCGCTAGGACAAGGGGAAGCCTCTCCCTGGAGCCCAGGTGCCCCAGGCAGGTGAACACACACCAGAGAACCAGCCACATGCAGGCCATGTGTGATCATCCTCACACTAGCTGCGGGTCTCAGGGCAAGGCCCCTCGCCTCTCTGCACCTCAGTTTTCACATCTGTAAAACAGGGCTAATCTCTGCCACCACACAGTGTTTGGAGATTATTAAATGGGTTAGTGAAATGTGGAAATCTCTGGCCCTCATGGGTGTTCAGCGCAGTGCTGTGGTTGGAATGGATTGAATGAGTCTTCCACTGTGCACCTGGTCTCCAGAAATCAAGTTCGGGAGAATCAGTGGCCTGGTCTTTTTCTGGCCATCAGCACCCAGGGATGGTCCTGAGCAGTGGTAACACTGCCAGGGCTTTTTTCCTGCCCACCAGTGGGAGATCAGAGGTCTGGGGCCATGGCAGTCTTGATGGGCCCTGGCTGAGGCCATCCTCAGCTCTCGCTGGGCTCTGTCTAGCACCTACATGGCCCACAGAGGGGCACTGTGGGTGGGCCGACCCTGCGCCACCATGGCTCAATGCCCCTGGTGATTCTTTGTCTGGTTGAACTTGCTTTGGATGAGGGCTCAGCTTCTGAGGGCCGATGTCCTGTTCCTTCCAACAAAGGCACTGTCACATGCTGTCCTCTTGGGGTCACTCAGCCTCCTGGGACTCCAGCGTCCTCGCCTGCAGGATGGAAATGCAGTCGTGCCTCCCCAGAGTGGTGTTTTGAGGATGAAATGTGATAACGTGTCTGAAGTGCTTGGCACACAGCAGGGACTCTGTACATAGTAGCTGGTGGTTATTTCTAAAGGGGTTGGAAGGAAAGCCCCCTACAGAAGCCAGCGTGTGTCAGGTGGGATCACCTGAAGAGCAACTCTCAGGAGGTTGTGCGGGGCCTGCCCTGTGCCTACTTTGCTGTGGGTTGGACGGAAGGAGAGCCCTGGCCTTCCATGTCTCCTCTGGATAGAACGTGTGGATGGGCCGGAGTGGGATGGGGTGGGGTGGGGTGGGGCGGGGCCTTGCCTAGACCTAGGCTGGGCTCCCTGCTGTTGCCCAGCCCTGTATGGGCAGTGGCATTGCCTGGGGTCTTGTTCCTTTCGCGGGGTGCAGTGTTATGCTCAGGGTTCCTCCCTGTGGTTCCCTAGAGTTGAAGAGGACTTGGACCAGATTCTGAACCTGGGGGCTGAGTCCAAACCCAAGCCCCAGCCCCAGCCCAAGCCCAAGCCACCAGTGGCAGCTAAGCCGGCAATACCCAGAAAACCAGCTCTTCCCCCCAAAGCGGGCCCATCTGAAGCTGTGGCTGGGCAGCAGAAGCCGCAGGAGCAGATCCAAGCCATGGACGAGATGGACATCTTACGGTACATCTGGGAGCATACCGCACCGGCCCAGGCCACCCCCAGCCTCTTCTGATCCTTCCATGCTGGCCCCTGGCCCGACAGACCTGCCTATAGGGACATCTGTGTGAAGGGAGGGGACTGTGCCCCGCAGGGTCAGAACCTCCCCACCCCCAAGGAAGGCCAGGTGGAAGCCAGGGTCACAGCACCCAGAATTGCATTGTTTATTTTCTCCTGGGCAGTGGGGCCACAGTAGAACCCTGCAGGCTGCAGGGGTGGCTCTCACCCTAGGAAGTGGAGCCCAGCTGTCCTGTTCTCCATGGACACGGAAGGGAGGGAGGGTGTGGAGATGCCTTGCCAACCAGGATGCCTTGCCAGCCCCAAGAATGGAGCAAGACACGTGGGGCCCCATTGAGGTATTGCATGGGGCAGGGAAACTTCCTGCCCATGGGTTCTACCAGCCCCAGCACAGACCCAAACTGGGCCTGGGCCTCTAGCCCTCCTCTGCCTCGGTTGGCATAGTAAGAAGGAGTGACCAGAATCCTCCCCTTTCCCTTCCTTAAGCAGTAGCCTGGGTGACTGGCTGGCCTGGGCCTGGGGTCAGGGGAAGTCCCCAAGCCAAATTACTCCAGGGTCTCTGCTCCTTGTGGCTCGTGGGGGCCTGCAGGGTGTGGGTGGGTCTCCCAGGAGAGGGGTCCTGAGCAGGAGACTGGCTGTCTGGCGTGTTCTCATGCAAGTCTCTCCTGAGCCCCCTCTTGTTGTGAGCTCTAAAGGGAGCAGTCAGGCCCAACCCCGCCTCTCCGGGTACAGATGGCCCTGCCAGGCCCCAGCTCTTCCTCCCTCTTCCTTTCCCAGGAAAGGCCAGCCCAGTCCATGGCCTTCTTGGGCCTCTGGGCACAGAGCCAGCGTTCTTCATGCAGCTCTCCGCAAACTGGGTCATAGCGCGCCCCACAGCTCAGCCTGGGCCTGGGGAGGGCTCCCAGCCTGTGCCGCCCTCCACTGCCAGTGCGGCGTGACGCTCTCAGGCTTCGGCCCTGGGGCCTTCGCTGTCCTCAGGGTCTGGACTTGCTCAGTGGCCTTTCACCAGTGGAGCTGCCTTCCCAGGGAGAAGGAGCCGTGTGCCAGGGCGGGGCCTGTGCCTTAGACTTCTCCCGATCCCCAAAGCCCTGGCACACAGGTCTGGGCACCACAAAGTGCTTTGGAAATTCCCAGTGAATGAGGTTTAATAAAGCAAAAAATGTCAAGGTGTCTTTCTTGGATATAATGCTTCGTGTTCAGAGCTGGATTTTTGTTTGTTTTTGTTTTTGTTTTTGTTTTGAATGAAGCAGTAGTTTTAAATGAAATGCAACCGCTATTGTTCTTTTGCCCTATCCTGCCTGGCAAAGGCATGAGGCGGGTGGGACAAGGACCCCAGACCCTTCTCTGATAGATGCCAAGCCCAGCCCTGAGGGAGCCTCAGTTGACGGTGCGGGTGGTGTGCCAGTCCTCAGTGTCGAGTGTCTCCAGCCCCTGGCCTGTGCCAGGACCGGTCTGCTCTGTCCTGCATCTGACCATGTCCCTCGCCAGCTGCTGGAGCTCCCCTCCACTGGTGGAGCCTCCCCTCCACTGGTGCTAGAGTGAGAGGAAGCAGGTGATTCTGGGGTTGAGAGCTGACTTCCTCCCCCTCTGCCTTAACCCAGGTCGGGAGGGTCCGCTCCTTCCCCAGGGCTCTGAGCCAGCTCCAGCCCTGGCTCCACCCATTTGCCTTCCCCCTTCACACCCGCCCCTCCTTCCCAGCGCTCAGCCCCAGGCCCGGCAGGCCCTACTGCCTGCAGAGGAAGGTCTCAGTAGGAGTGGGGAGGGGATGGGGCCAGGTCTTCCTCAGAGGTGGCCCCGGCTTTCCCTCGGGCTCTGTCCCGTCCCTGCCCTTTCTGCACCCTGATGCGCATTCCCTGCCCCCGTTCCCCACCTGCTTTGGGTCACATGACATAGCAGAGCGTACAGTGGGGCAGGCGGCCACAGGGGCTGGTGCTCTGCTTGGGGTCATAGTAGAACCTGGCCTGCCGGTTATGGATTCATCCACGTGGGCCCCACCTCCTCAGTGGTCTGGACTCTGGACACCACCACAAAGATCTGTGTTTCCCAGATACTGATGCTCCAGCCCTGGCTTGTTCACCCATAGGACTGCAACTCATGGCCAACCAATGATCCTCGTCATCTATTAAAGCCTGTGCCTGTGACCCATTCCAGCCTTTGTTAGTGAGGTTCTTTTCTGTGCCTGGGCTGATGGCAGACCACTGGGGAGGGGAATGGGGAGAGGACTGTCCTTTAAAAGAGCAGACTCAGCCAAGGAAGCTGCCCTGCCCCAGCCACCCAGGCTGCTGCTTAGGGTAGGGGAGGGGGAGGATTCTGGTCACTCCTCAGTATGCCAACTGAGGTGGAGGAGGGCTTAGAGGCCCAGGCCCAGGGTGGGTCATCGGGCCAGTAACTGCGCAGCCAAGACCCATGTAGAAAGAAAGAGGGCCCCTTTCTGTCTCCAGATCTGCCCCCATTCCCTATGGTGGAGACGGTCTATGCTTGGACTGGCCCTGGTGCCCATTTAGATCTGACATCAGATGACCCTGCCCCTCTGTCAACAAACCTTCCCTGGCCTTCACACTCCTGCCTGGGCTCGGGTTCTGAGATGCAGCTTCAGCCCTGGATGCAGCTCCCTCCTGGGGAACACGAGAAGCCTCGTGCAGGGACAGAATGTGGCCTCTCTTCCCCCCAAGATTTTGGTTGGAATCTTGTAGCTAAGATGGAGTTGGAGTCCTGGCTCCTGAGGACAGGCAGTTTGGCCACTCTGAGAAGGTCTGCTCAGACCAGGAGGCTGCAGCTGAGAGCTCCCTGTGGAAGGGAAATAGAAGTTTCATTTGGGACAGCGACGTTTGTTTATTTCGAAGCCTGTTGTGAGCCGGTGGACAGGATGTGCCATCGTCTATGGCTGGGGTCCCACTGTTCCCGTCCTCCCGGCATTGTTCCTCTCAGGAAGCCGGGAACTCAGGCCAGTTCTCCTGGAAAGTCCCTAGGGCCTGCCCCAGCCAGGCCTGTGTCACGGGCTCCACTGAGGCGCACCTACCCATTGAGTGCTGGTGTCCCATGACCACGTCCATGCAGTGTGTCTGGGACTAAGCTTACCTCTGTGTGTCCCGTGGGCTCCTCTGGGGCTCGAGCTCTCACACGACATACGGACCAGACAGCAAAGTCCAGCCACTCTCTGGGTCCTGTGGCTTTCCTGTGCAGCGGCCACCTGCGCATTGTGTTGACATACTTGGTGCGGTGACTTAACACCCAGTGTCAGGCTGATGTGGAGGATCGCTCCCAGTTCTCTAGCTCACCAGCTGCCCAGCTCAGCAAATCCTGGGAAAGAGAGGGGGCCAGAGCTACCAGCATGTCCCCGGATAGTGGCCCTGCCTGCCGCCATTGGCTTCATGTGGGTTCACAGCTGCCCAGAGCAAACATGGTCAATGCTCAGAGCTTCCTCCAGCAGCCGAACTCTGGGCATCAGGCTATGAATGTTCCCACTCACTACAAACTCTGATCGCTCCAAACCCTTCCCTACTCAGCACCCTAAGGCCTTGCGCTTGGGGGAAGCTGACCGAGGGGCTGGTGGAGGAGTGGTGGGGACTGGCCTTGAGTTCTCATGTAGGCCACAGCATCCTGTGAAGCAGCAGCCGGGTTCTGTGGGCACAGAAGGCCGGGGTTCCAGTCCAGCTTTGACTGTGACATATGCTCACCCCACAGTGCTAAGTGAAGAGACTTCCCCTGGTTCCTGGGAGGACGCCAAGGAGACTAAAAAGTCTTCTATGTGCCTGAAGGGATTTCAGTGGAGAGGTCACACTAGATCCTCACAGAGGCTCTTCCTTCCCTGCCCAGTACCATCTAGCTCCTAACAGGAGGTGGCAGGCCACTGGGCAGGTGGTCAGCAGGCCTGTCAACAGCTCAGTCAAGCCCCCAGCCCCAGCGCTGGCCACTGACTTCCATGCCAGGCCTGGTGGTGCAACATAGAACACCACGTGGTGCAGATATCCATCCTCCTCTGTGGCTGGCCTCTCACTCCTGTGCTCCGTGGCTCTGGCTGCTGGGGAGAGTCAAGCAATTTCATGTCATGGGTCACACTCAGGCTAAAGCCGCAGCTTCTGGAGTGGGATTATGGGCTCAGCACGTGGCCTCGGTAAGCCGGGTCTTTATTGATGACTTTCAGAGGCCTGACGCTTCTCTGCCAACTCAGCACATAGCAGCCGCCTCTGAATGGCTTTTTAAATAAAGCTGGGTTAGCTCCCTCCAGCCCAGCCGGCCGATCACATCATCTGTTTCCCCACATGCAGAGCTCATCCATAAACACTAAGCACGTAATGGGCACCTACTGTGTGTAGTACCTGTTCCAGGCAAGTTGGAGGAAGCAAAGATGAAAGAAGGTGAGCCATGAAAGCCAGTTTTACCAGGAACCATGCTGAGCCTCTAGTTTCACTTTCTGTTCTCTGGGCCTTCTGCTGGAATATCAGGCACAAAGAAAGGAGGTGCCTCCTCCATGCGGCCCTCTCTGCCTGTCCCTCCCCCTCTGCCACCTGCCAGCATGGACAGTTTGTTGCCTGCAGCCTGGGCTCAGCTTTTGTTCCGTTTCCTGGAGCTGCTGTGGCAAAGCACCATAAGCTAGGTGGGTTTAAACCACAGAAATGTATTCTCTCGCAGTTCTGGAGGTCAGAGGTCTAAAATCAAGGTGTCAGCAGGGCCGTGCTCCCTCTGGAATCTCTAGGGAAGGACACTGCTTTTTCCTGGCTTCTGGGGGTTCCTGGCAACCCTTGGAGTCCCTTTGTTTATAGCTGTATCGCTCCAACCTCTGCTCTTGTCTTCATATGGGCTTCTTTCCTCTGTGTCTCTGTCTTCACAAGGTGTCTTCTCTGTGTCTGTGTCCAAATTTCCCTCTCACAGTCATTGGATTAGGGCCCACTGTAATCTAATATGACCTCATTTTACCTTAATTATACCTGCAAAGGTCCTATTTCCAAATAGGAGCGACTTCACAGGGTCCTTGTGGACGTAAATTCAGGGGACACAATTCCACCCAGTACAGATACCACCCATCCTGAGCATGTGGCATTCAGTAGCGGGCAGAGGCCCTTTCTGTCCTGCAAGGCATGGTCCCTGTGCCATCCCTGTGCACTCTGTATGTTTCAGCAGTGCCATGTGGGTTTCACTCCTGCGTGAGGGGACATGTCAGGAGGAAGCTGGGCAGACAGTAGCGTGTGTAGACACCCACCATGTGCCATCATTATAAAGTTCTGTCCTCTGCAGCTGCTTCCAGACATGTCAAATTCTCTCCATCAAAAGCTGGGTCTCTTTATTAAATAGTGAAATGACTTCTCAGATAACATGTGGCGCAAACTGGAGAGTCAGTGACACTCAGAGATGTCCAAGCTGGCAGGGGGGCAGCGGCGTCCCTTCCTTCCTTCCTCCGGCAATGCAGCTCTGGAGAAGGCCTTCCCCGGCCGGACCAGTGCTGTCTGCTCAGAGCCACAGGCAGCTGGGTCCTGCGGCTCCCTCTTGCCATCACCCCATTATCCTCTCACTGGCCTCCGAGGGAGTTTGAAAGGGCTCTGAGGATGCTGGCGTTGGGAACTAAAGGATGCCAGAGTATGGGAGCTGCAGGCCAACTGCCTTTACCACTGCCTTCTCAAGCTGGTTTTCTTCCTTTGGTGAGATCGCCCTTGACGTCTCCACAGTGTGTTTCTGTTTTTTCTTTTGGCGTGATCGCCACTTTGCTGATTTCCCGCTAACAAGTGCTGTAGGCCCCAGAGGGCAGTGTTTCTCTGGATTAGAAAGTAGAACAGCTGATTTCTTGCCCACCTGTTTCTCTGACATCAGAAGCTGCAGAAAGGCTGAGCTTGACTCACTTCCCCTCTCCCTGGAGGGCTTCATTTCACACTTAGGCTGGCTCCAGGACCCTAAATTGGTCTCTGCTCCTGTGGGTGGCCCTAGAATTTGCACCAGGGCCTCACAGTCTATAAAATCCATGGGTGTGGAATGGAGAATGGTGCAGCACTTCGGGAAATAGATTTAGCAGTTTTTAAAACGATTAAACATAAATGTACCGCACAACTCAGCAATTCCACTCCTAGGCATATACCTAAAGGGAAAGAGAAGTGTGTGGCCACTCAAAGGGTGGTACACAGATGTTCATAGAAGCTTTATTTATCACAGCCAAAAACGTAGACACAATGGAAAAGCCTAT